AGAAGTAAATAAAGTGGTGCCCAGCTAGACTTTTTTTTTTTTTTTTGAGAGGTTTTTGCTACAGGGCATGTGCACTCACTGTAAAGACAGAGAGAGACAGAGAGACGGAAAGTGAGAAATCACCCTCCCTCGGGGGATGGCTATGCTGCAATCCCTTCTTCTCTATTCTCCTCTTGGGATCTTGGGCACGTACACATATGTGCCCAGCGTGAGTTTAAGCCACCGGGTCCGGGACTTGAACTGATGTCAACTACATGGGAGTTCAGTGACAGCCACTATGCTAACTGCTGGTCTCGCAGCTAGACATTGTTGACTAGTGGGGTCATCAACTCTTTTGCTGTTGATTTAGCTAATGCCTTCTTTAGTGTTGATACTCATGCATATCTAGCAGTGCACTTCACAATGGGCTGAACAAAGGCTTACAGACTGACATTTTTACCTCCCTTATAATCCCACAATGGCTTGTTTTATGGAGTGCCAAATGCTAAAGGAAGCTCTGAAGACACATCAGCACTCCCTGGGAAGTTCAATCTGAACTGCATTGTTGCTTTCTTATCCCTATGCTGGGGGACTAACACACAACCTTGACATCTGCCCCCAAATTGTGGGTAAGTGGACTAGTACTATAAAATACCACAACACTGGCACAGATGCAATTCCCAAAGGCACAGTAATAATCACCACGTGGCAGTTTAGGACCCCTCCTCTCACTTTCCAGAGTGCCTCTGGGTCTGAACAGGCATAGTATAGAAAGCCTGGGAGACCTTCCCAAAGTGTTATTTTATTGTCCCAAGAGAGGACTTTTGACTGCATATTACCTGGCAATGGAGACTTCCCTTTGCATGTACCACTAAAACACTTGCCTTTTCCTTAAGCTTCGGGGCAAGGAAGGCGTTCCTGCACTGCACTTGCATCCTGGCACAAGTACACAAGTCTGCACACTGGCTGTGCTTTACCTTCCCTCTGTCAGCTATGGCAGAAATGCCATGGAGATCGTGCCTGGCTAACCAGACTGAATGGGTTTTCCTTCTACTTGGTTTGGTTCCCCCTTAGTAGCTTTGAAAGAAATTATTTTCTAATCATGTAGTAATGTTTTTACTATTATTTGGAACATGTGTTCTTGATTGCACTTGTAGAATATGAATGCAATGTTTGACTCATACTTCTGCTCCAGGGAACTGGTGGAAGATAAATGACTCACAAAGACTATAAGGGTGCTATGAGAGTCAATGTTGGGATGGACTTAGAGTAGGCATTGAGTTCTCTTCCCCATCCCTCACTATTCTGCTTTCCTTGAGACCAAGCATCAGAGCATAGCTGGGACTTGTGAAGAACCTGACTAAAACCTTCACCTCATGAAACTGGTGTATGGCCAGCATTATTCCAGAGGTATGGAATCACCTTTGACATTAACATCATAACACTAAAAACTAAACATATTCTGCTATTTGTTAATTGGTAAGCTAACCTTTTATTGTAACTTCCAAACAATGTATATACAAAACAGTCCCTGTCTTGTCAACTTGAACCTGCAATAGTCTTTTATCCATTTATGAATGTATTATTCTTAACTTATGCAACCTGAGCCTGTCCTCCCTGATGGTGAGGAACATTCTCTGCCTGGCTATCAGTGAAGCTCCCAGTCTACATCATGTAACTAAATATACTCACATCTTACCATGCTGGACCTGTGGGTGTGTTCTTTGGAATCTATAAACATTAGAAGAAAGCCCTCTCAGATTTGCGGCTTCCTCCATGCATATGGATTCACTACTTGAAAAATTCTAACACCGCTACACTTTCAAAATGTATAATATTCAGTAACCCCAGAAAATGACCTCATTTCATCCCAGTCAATCCTTGCTGTCATCTTAGGCTAATGTTGTTTATTTTAGATTTTGCCAGAATGGATGCATGGATGCCAATATGCACTTCTTTTGAGTCTTCTTTATTTTGTTCTGCTCAATGTTTCTGAAATTATTCATATTATCATATGAATCAGTAACTTATTACTTGCCATTCCTGACTCAATTCCTGACATATCCAGAACACAGTTACAACAACAGACACACAGAGTTCACAACTGACACACACTCAATCAGGGATCCTCACAGATGTTTACATAAACGAAGAAACACAGAGACACTCGGAGACACAGCACAGATTTATGCACATGACTTGATTACAGACACAGAACTCAGACACAGATGCAGAAGATGCAGAAGATGCAGCCAAAGGAAAACATACAGCCCACACCCAGATATCCAGCCTGTAAGACACCCACATAGCCTTGGCTCTCCATTGTTCTGGCTTATGTGCAGACAGACAGAATAGACCTTGTCATGACCTGCCCTAACTGAATTCACGGAAGGGGGGTGCATTTCGTGTTCCAAACCCAGTGCTAAACATCCACATCTTCCAGAGCCTTTCAGAGGGCAGTGCTGGGGAGCATGAGATGTGAGACAGTAGCCAGGGTAGGGTAGATATGGGGTCCAGGGCAAAGGTTTGGGACTGGGACCTTGTCAAGGTGCATTTGCTCTTGGGGGTGATGCATGGGGCTTAGCAGAACTCAAGGATAAGAGAGGAGAATGGTTTTCCCCAGCCCCCTCCCCTGTGTCAGGATG